ACTTTCCTCCCCACACCACCCCTGCCTCCCAGGACTGATGGAAGTCAAGGAAACAGGAGATCCAGGAGGGCAGCTGGTGCTGGCAGGAGACCCTCGGCAGCTGGGGCCTGTGCTGCGCTCCCCACTGAGTCAGAAGCACGGGTTGGGGTACTCGCTGCTAGAGCGGCTGCTCACCTACAACAGCCTGTACAAGAAGGGCCCCAGTGGCTACAACCCCCAGTTCATAACCAAGCTGCTACGTAACTACAGGTATTCCCACCAGAAAAAACAAACCTGTTGCCATCAAGTCTGACTCCTTACAGCCCCGGTGTTACAAAGTTGAGCTATAATCTTTACGGAAGCAGGTCACTGGGCTTGTGTGTGTGTGTGTGTGTGTGTGTGTGTGTGAACCTACTGGGTGGGTTCAAACTGCCAACCTTTATGTAGACAGCCGATCTAAAACCGTTTGCGCCACCCAGGCTCAAGATGTATGATGCAGATAGACTATAAATTGGAAGGTAGGAGGCCTCCTTTCTAGCTCCATCACTGCTACTCATTGGCTGTGTGACTTTAGCAAATGGCTTCTCGCTGGGCCTTTTGGTTTATTTACCTATTAGGAGATGATCAGTGGTTCCCAGACATTGAGATGTCTGATGTGGGTCCCAGATGAAGTTTCCAGGAACTCCAATGAGAAATGAGAAAAATAGGGACGATTTAGTAAGTTTTTCAAAAATCTGTTGATCAAATTAAAGAGCTATTCTTCGTTTAGTAAATGGGTTAATACATCTAACATGCTTAGATGAGTTCCAGGCAGTTACTAAAAACTCAGTAGATGTTAGCTATTGCATTATTCTCTTATTTTGGGTTTAACACATTATGTCATGAAATAATGGTGATAGCAGATGATTCTTGTTTTTGAAATGTCCTTCCTTAACAAAACTGAAATCTGAGAATGGGTCTCAATATTTTGGTTTTTAAATTTGACTGGTTCATGTAATCTATGGATGAGATATTCCCTGGAAACATTTGGTTCTGTTTTCTATGGTTGATGGTACCTGGTTCTTGAGAAACACTCAGTAGACACTGTAGGTGAATGTGTCCTGCAGTCCACTGGACAGGAAGGTAGGAGAATGTGTGTGGAACTGGAGCCAGCAGAGCAAGGGTCCTCAAAAAAAGTAATCCAGCCCTCTTCCTTCCTCTTCCTGCCTCCTAGATCTCACCCCACCATCTTGGACATTCCTAACCAGCTATATTATGAAGGGGAGCTGCAGGCCTGTGCTGACATTATGGATCGAGAACGCTTCTGTCGCTGGGAAGGTCTGCCTCGGCAGGTGAGGCCAAGCAGGACAAGAGCTTAGGCGTCCTCTCCCTCTACACCAGCTTCCCTCTTACTGTGAAGGGGCACGGCAGGAGAAGGCTCTGAGTGGAAGCCGTTGGTCCCTCCTTCTGTCACCTTGGCCTGGAATTCCAGATCCTCTGGGAGAGTCTGGGGGTGGAAGGGAAGGAAAGCTGGGAGGTCTGGCTGCGAGTTTCTTCTGATCACTATGTCCAGGGCTTTCCCATCATCTTTCACGGTGTAATGGGCAAGGATGAGCGTGAGGGCAATAGCCCGTCCTTCTTCAACCCAGAAGAGGCCGCCACAGTGACTTCCTACCTGAAGCTGCTCCTGGCCCCCTCCTCCAAGAAAGGCAAAGCCCGCCTGAGCCCCCGAAGCGTGGGCATCATCTCCCCATACCGGAAGCAGGTTAGGCCCCCAGTTTCTCAGTCTTCTGCCCTTCCCGCAAGGATACCTTCTTAATCATAGACCACTAGGATGAGGTTCCAGGAGCTGGGCACTACTGGTCCCTGTCAGACGAACACGTGGGGCAGGTGCCCCCTCCTCATTTCTCCCAGCTTCCTGGGAAGGGGTGGCACACTGGCCTTCCTGACTGGCTCCCTCTTGCATTGGGATATCCGCATGAGAGAAGGGTACCTGTCCCCTCCTTTCAGGTGGAAAAAATCCGTTATTGCATCACAAAACTTGACAAGGAGCTTCGGGGACTGGATGACATCAAGGACTTAAAGGTGAATCACCACTATTCCACATTTGCTCCCTGTGGTTTACCCCCAGCTTCCCCAGTCTTCTAAAAACCTCCTCGGGCTCCTGCCCTGCTGCTGCAGCCCAGCCCATGTCCCTTGCACACCCTGCTGCCTTGAGACATAGCTGGGGCTTTCCCCAAGACTCTTACTCCTGGATACCCCAACTTGTAGGATGGCGTTGAGAGGCTTGCATTTTTAAAAGTACTTCAGGTAATTCGTATAATCAGGGAGGTTTGAAGCTGCTGTCTCGAGGATAAAGTCCAAACCCCAGGGCTCACCAGGCCTGGCATCCCCCTGCTCCTTTCCAGCCTCATGTCTCCCTGCTCTCATTTCCATCCTTTGGGTCAGGCAGTAGCTTGACTCTTTCTTTAAGGAGGTTGGTTCTCAACCCTGGCTATAGATAAGAATCACCTAGAGAGCTTTCAACACTGCCAGTGTCAGAGCCCCACCCAGCCAAATAAAACAGTTATCTGGGGGCAGAGCCAGGGCACTGGTATTTCTTACAGTACCTCAGGTGATTAATGTTCAGCCAGGGTTGAAAGCCACTGCATGAAGATTTAGAGGTCTGTGCCTTGGAAATACTGATTTAGGTCTGGGTTAGGGCCCTAGGTTGTATTATTTTTAACAAGCACTTGGTCATTATCTTCAGGAAAGTTTGAAAACACTGCTGTGAGACACCTTGTTCTTTGTAAAGCTGTTTTCTCTGCCTCGCATACTTTCCAGCCCCTACTCCTTGAACTGGATTCATCCTTCTCTTTACCTGGACCCTGCCAGGTTGGCCAGCATCACAGCATTCACTCCACTTACCTATAATTGCCTGGTGACTTATCTGTGCCCTCCTTGGAGTCCAAGCTCCCTAAGGCAGGGGCAGTCCCTCTGACTCACCTTTGAGCCTCTTGGTCTCAGGCACCACCTCTGCCTCTCTCTCCTCCTCCAGGTGGGCTCCGTGGAAGAGTTCCAAGGCCAAGAACGCAGTGTCATCATCATCTCCACCGTACGAAGTAGCCAGAGCTTTGTACAGCTGGATCTGGACTTTAACCTGGGTTTCCTTAAGAACCCAAAGGTTGGTGGCCTGGTGGGTGGCAGGAATTCTTCCTTCCTTTAGGACCTTTCCTTTCCCGTGATCCAAATACTTCTTCCTTCCAGAGGTTCAACGTGGCTGTGACTCGGGCCAAGGCTTTGCTCATCGTAGTGGGCAACCCCCTTCTCCTGGGCCATGACTCCGACTGGAAAGCGTGAGCATTACCACCCTCTAATTCCCTTGGTGGCCATGACCCCTAGCCTAGGGCAGATATATCTTACTAAGCATCTCTTTGTGGCTCACTTCATACTCACTTCTGTTCATCTGTACAACATCCCCATTTTATTTGTAAGTTAACTGACAATTCAGAGGTTACAGGTGAGGAAACCCTATGGAGCAGTTCTACTCTAACAGGGGCACTGTGAGTCAAAATCTATTAAATGGCAAGCAAGAAACAACTTGCCCAAAGGCACACAGCTCTTATCAGACTAAGGCTTAGCCTCCAGCCTTTGCTAGTGCTCCCAAGCCAGGACAGTACAGAGACAGACACGTATCCCTGTACCCCACAGATTCCTGGAGTTCTGTAAAGAAAATGGGGGATATATTGGTTGCCCCTTCCCTGCTAAACTGGACCTGCAAGAGGGACAGAACTTACTCCAAGGTCTGAGCAAGCTCAGCTCCTCTACCTCAGGTATGGCTGGGCCAGGTAGGGGACAGGGCTGGAAAAGGAAGTAAGGCAGACAGAGCCCACCTCTTGCTTTCTAGGGCCTCACCGTCAAGACTACCTCCCCTCGGATCGGGAGGGTGAGGGGGGCCTAGCCCTGCAAGTGGAGCCAGCCTGGAGGAATGAGCTCTGAAGACACAGCCACAGGCCTTCGCACACCAGCCAAGCCTTAACCGCCTGACCCACAACCAGAACCCTGCCTGAACTAGAACCCAGCTGAGCTGCCCCCCATGGGACAGGAGGCTGGGGTAGGGAGTTTACAACCCAAGCCATTCCACCCCCTCCCCTGCTGGGGAGAATGACACATCAAGCTGCTAACAATTGGGGGGAAGGGGAGGAAGAAAACTCTGGAAACAAAACTTGTTCTATGCAAAAGCCTCCTGTCTTCTCCGCTGGGCCCCTCAGCTTCCCTAGAGCAACCTAACTGACCTGCTGCTGGAGAGGGTTAGACTGTCACACCCTGCCTGGGGCCACACCCCCTTCCATCTAGAGCTGGGGAGGAAACCCAGTGGGAGGTGGCAGGGAAGCCACCCACAGCTTTCTAAGTTTAGCCACAGCTACAAGTAGACCACTCCCCTCACCGGCCTCTTAGGCCAAGAGCCAGGCATGACCTCATCCTTTACTCCAAGTCTCCACCCTGCCGACCCACTTGCCTGCCTGGGAGTTTTGCCTTTGCAGAGTGGCCAGCCTGGCAAGCAACCTGAAAGGAAGAAATGGGAATCCAAGCTGGCAGCCAAGGCTGGGACCAGGAAAGACAGGAAGCTGCCACACATGTATTGGAGCCTGTGTCTTTTATTCATGCCCCCCACAAAGTATAGTCAGAGACAAACCCCAAAAGCAGGGGCTGGGAACTCTGGTTACATCCTGCAAGTCCCCTGCCCCAGACACTCTTCTGTGAGCCACAAGTGGATAAAGTGCTGGTGTGACAGATCCTCCAGGGAAGCCCAAAGGGAATAAGAGCCCCACCCCTGAGGCAACAGGGACTCCAAAAGGGCAGGACACAGGCCTAGGTTCCCAGAGGGCTGGGAGGAGGGCCTACCACCACCACTGGGGCTAGGGAAGCACAGTGCAGTCCTGGGCTGGAGGGAATTGAAAAAGGGTGCCTTCAGCAAGAGTCATGATGGCAGGGTGGGAAGGGGGATGGTTTCTACACACTTATTGGGGGAGGGAGAAACAGGTAGGTAGGCTTTAGGGTTCTCAAAGAATGGGACAGCCCCTCCGACGCTTATTTTTGCGGACCTGGAGGCCTGCGCGAGTGGCCATCTCGAATACCTCCCGTACTCCCTCCTTAGTCTTGGCTGAGCACTCCAGATAGCCAAAGGCACTGATCCGATTTGCCATATCCCGGCCTTCCTCAGACCTAACAGGCTCCTGGGAAGACAAGGTGAGAGGTCAGAGGAAACTAGGGATTAGGGGTACCTCTTACCATCTCACTGATTTAAGTGTAGTACTAAAACAAATACCTCCTATAGCCCTGACCCACACAAGACACCGGTCACCTTGGTCAGCTTCTGAAAAAAGGATCCAAGGCAATCATGTTTATATTCAAAATTCTCATCTATTCCTGTCATCTCTCATCCAACCTTATGCTCCACACACTTTTCTTTCCCGAATGGACGTGTGCCACTAATCTCCCTGGTTCCATTCTCACTTTCCTCCAAACCATCCTTGGGCTGCCAGAATTAAGTTTTCTAACATGCAGAGTTGACCACAGTTTAAATCCTTACCATAATTATCCTCACAGGATAGCCCACATTACTTACCCTGACAGCTTTCTCCAATAAACTGGTCTTCTGGCTATAGAGAGCTACTCACCAGGCCCCCAAACAAGCTTTCCCTCAGCCTCTAGACCTTCCAAACACTTAAGCATTCACATTCATGGCAGTCCCCTCCCCTTTATCCCCCCAAGGTGTTCTCCAATGGTACCAGCTGAATCTAAGTGAGGTATCTATTTTAAGAAGCTGTCTCTCTAAAGGCAAATTTTCCTGTTCATCTTAATAGCCCCTGCTCCTAGGACAGAATGGACAAACTGGACTAAATGAACATGACAGGTGACCTTGGACAAGTCACTTCATTCTCTTGACAATTTCACTGGAAATTACTCAGGATACTTCCATCCCTCCCTCACCAGGAAGCAGATGTTTGGGGATGTAGCCACCGTAGTTGCCTCTAGCACAGGGTGGTCAGCTGGAGAAAAGCTCCCTTCCCCACCCATCCACAATCCCCCAGAAAGTACTGTCCTCTCCAAATGCTCCCGGCTCAACAGCCCCACTCACCTGCTTCATTTTGGCCAGCTCTCTCCTGGTATGCTCATCTTGCCTCAGATCCTTCTTATTCCCCACTAGGATGATAGGCACGTTGGGGCAGAAGTGCTTCACCTCTGGGGTCCACTTCTCAGGAATGTTTTCTGCACAAATATGTCCCCACAAGTGCTGGAAGCACTACTTGGGCTAGAAAGCACCCCCCTGGGGCTGCATCTCCCCAGAACAGTCTATTCAGCATGAAGGTCCCTTTCACAGCTCTAAGTCCCTCACCCTCCACACCTTCCCCTGAGCCAGTGACACAGGCCAAAGTTCCACAGTGAAAGGCTAACAGGGCCCCCATACCGCTACCTCCCAAGCTTCTGAAGATGGCTGACAACAGGCCAAGGCAAGTGCCACATCTGGTAATTCCAAAGGGTTCTCGATCCCCTACTCCGAACACCCTCTCCCCAATCTCACCTAGGCTGTCAGGGCTGTCGATGGAGAAGCACATGAGAATGACATCAGTATCTGGGTAGGAAAGAGGCCGTAGGCGATCATAGTCTTCCTGCCCAGCTGTGTCCCATAGAGCCAGCTCCACCTGACACACACACACTGTTTGAGTAGCTAGCCCAAGTACCCTAGTTGCCACAATACAACCCTACTACCCAGAGGCCCTCTGAAAACACTGATCCTTTAGGCTCGCCAAACAGCTAATCCTTGGACACCTGCTACATACCTGGGACTGTGCTGGACACTGCCACAAACCATAAACTAGGCACATTTTTCTAAAATCATAAGATACCTATGTTGAACCTTTGTGCAGAGGTCAGGCAGCAGTTTGAGTTGCCACCGTGAATATCATTATTTCATTTTCACAACAACCCTTTGAGGGCAGTCTTACCATCATCCCCATTTTGTAGATGGGGAAGTTTAACAGAGGCTAAGGGTCTTAGGCCAGACTACAGAGCAAGTATGTGGTAGAATCAGGAGATGTACCCAGATTTTCAAAGATTCCAGTTTCGTTTCCTAACTCTTACTCACTCCAGCTGGGAGAATGGAGCAAGGAAGTGTGTGGGTGGTGAGGAAGCACATACGAGGTCCAAAAGTAACAGGGCAAAAAGTTCCAAGGGAGATGGGACAGGGCTCTTCGCCTTCACCTGCTTGCCATCCACCTCAATGTCTGCAATGTAGTTTTCAAAGACGGTAGGGACGTAGACCTCTGGGAACTGATCCTTGCTGAAGACGATGAGGAGGCAGGTCTTCCCACAGGCACCATCGCCTACAATCACCAGCTTCTTTCGGATTGCAGCCATGGCTGGGGCTGGCAGGAAAGAAGTACTGGGGATTTGGGAAAAAGGCAACAAGTCCAGAAGCACTTCTTTGGGGCCTCTGAGAACCCTTTGGAAACAGGCAGACGCAAAGGAAGGGAGGGGAGGGAAAGGAGCTTGCTCAGGCATGTTCTTGACAAGAACCAATATTCAGGCAACAGAGTTTGAAATTCCTAATGTCTGGGTCAGGGACAGGTCTCCCCAGATGGGTTGGAATACAGAAGTAGGAGGTGGAAGAACCTACTTTGAAGCCAAAAAACATGACTTGGTCTAATCCACTCACCAACTGGCACCTTGCACATCTAGAGAGGTGCTCAGAGATCACAGACAAGTCCAGCGGAGCCAGCTTGTCTCTGTTTTACATATCAGGGTTTCAGACTTCACTTGTTACTAGGATTTTGATACTTTAATAATCAAATTAGGTCCAAACTAGAAGAGACTCACTCAGCATGACCTGCGCCAGACCAGTCACAGACCAGGAGTCCCTCTCATAGACCACAGGGTAGCAGGACCTGCCATTAGGTGGTGAGTGGGTAAGGGAAAGAATATTTATCCAGTGTCTAGATGCCAGGCACTATGTTGGGCATTTAGACAAAAATTAGCTCCTTCAGTCCTCAGAAGCCTGGAAGGTGAACAGTACATTTCCCATTTCAACAAACTTGGAAACTGAAGCTCAATGAAGTCAAGACGTGTTCAGAGTCAAGGTACATAAACATAGGTACAGAACTCAAAGCAGGGCTGTGTGACTCTGGTGTCTGCCTTTTATACCTATCACTCCAGAAGTAGGAAGGAGAGTAGCAGGGAAACCCAGACAGAGGGCAGCGGCAGCAGCCAGCCTGTTTCCCTTACCCACCCCAGCCCAGTCCCCAAGTCCCAAGTCACACAAAGGAGGCTCAGTCCTGGCAGTGCCCACAGTACACATTCAGGCAGCTTGTCTTCCTCCCGGGCCTGGCAGCAACACTGGGTCACTCAGCCCCAGGCAGGGGACAATGACCACACTGTAGGCAGTCACGCATCCACTGAAGTAGAGTGACTGGGAATAATCCACTAGGGATCACCTCCACCCACTCCCTGGAACAGCCCCTTCCTCCCCTTTGTCTAGCTCACCCCAAGGCCCTGCCCACCCCTCCCTGTGACTCAGGGCAAGGAGTCAGCTTCCAGAGGTTTCCATGTGTCCCCTACCCCCAACACACATGAACTTGCATCGGCACAGCTCATCACACCTTCTCAGCTCCCCTGCCCATGAACCGAGCCTCACTTCCTCCTTCCCTGGGGAAAGGAGCTGACCTCCAGTCGGTTTAAGTTCCAAGGCTGCAGCCAGGGAGGAAGAGAGGGTGGGCTCTGGAGCTGAGATGAAGTCAAGGCTCTTGGAAAGGGGGAGGGGGCTAGAGCCTAGGCTGGGAGGAGCCCCAAAAGAAGAGACAAATGAAGGCCAACTCCAGCACTAACCAGGCAGGGAACAGTTAAGAAAGAAGGGGACAGTAACCTGATCTCTGCCCCAAACCTGGCTTTTTCTCTCAGTCCCACATCCTGTCAAACTGGGCTGAACTCCTGCTCTCTACATACCACCACCACCTCACGCTCCTTCCTTGGTCTGCCTTTTGGACCCAACTCATAGCGACCCCTCCTTGCGTTTCCCAGGCAGTATCTCCACAGAAGTAGATTGCCCCATCTTCCTTCCGAGGAGTGGCTGGTGGGTTTGAACCGCCACCCTCCTGGTTAGCAGTCAAGTGCCTTAGGCACTACACTACCAGAGCTCCCGGTCTGGAAGCAAGTATTCCAGCTCCAGCCTAGCTCTCAACAGTGGGATCCTAGGTGGCCCTCTCTCTCCTCCACACACACATTCACAAAACTGGGATAAGGGGAAGTGGATATGAGTCAGAGGGAATTTATAGGAGTTGAGCTTACACAGCCACACTCTCCCTACCATGTAAGGGGGCTCTCCCCTCCCAGATACTCCAAAAGACAAGTCCAGAACCACCAGGAGAACCCTCCCCCCCAAAAAAAAGGGAACCATCCTCCAAAAAGTCAGTTTCCTGGGAATTCTACTCAAGTGACTGACACTAGGGTTTCCAACTCCCCACACCCACTCTTCTTTAGTTCAGTTGTTCCAGCTGTGTGAAGATGGGCTGGGGGAGCCCCAGTCTGCAATGTGCAGGGTTGATGGAAGGTAATTACCATTGGGCTGAATACCACTTGCTCACACATGAGTATGCTCCTGACTTCCCCCAGCAGGACAGTTTGGGTGGCACAAGATGGTGGGAGGCAGAGGCCATAACCCCAGGGGCAGGAGCGTGCATCAAGTACCCACGAGCTCCTGGCTCAATTAGAAGAAAGACTTTTCCTTCGGGCTCTGGCTGGGCCAGAAGAGCAGCTGGCCTAGGCCAAGCCAGGACATCGGGCCCAGTGCCAAGATGGCAGGGACAACAGCTCCCTCTAAGAGGCAGCCCCAGAGGAAATGCCCCACTGACCCCAAGAGGGGCAACCAAACCCCACACAGGAGCTGGAATGGAGCCTGGAACTTCTGGGACCTTCCCTGAGAGAAGACAGTGTGGATACACACGCCCTCTCTTCAAGCACTCTAGATTTCTCAGATAATCTGGAGGGGTCCGCTGGCTGGCCACCCTTAAGTGTTTGCGGAAGGAATCGGTGTTCTGGAGATAACCCCTCAACTTTAAATGCAGGAGAGAAGGCGGGTTTCAGATTCGGGTCTGTGAGGGAGAGGCTCAGCGAGTGGAGTCTTTCAGGAAAAAAAAAAAAAAAGGAGCTGGATTCTTCCCTATTGCCTCCTACCGCCACCCAAGTCAGAGTCCAGGAACCGTCTAGGGCGGCGTGCAGACCCAGCCGAGTAGCGGCAGGCCGCTCCGGTCACACTCCGCCCCTATTCCCGCCGTCCCGACGGCCTAGAGGAATTCCCCCCACCCCGGCCCCGGGGCTCAGACCCCCACCCCAGGTCCACCTCTGGCCGCCCGACCTGGGAACCAGAGGGTCTAGTTGGGGCTTCCTCGCGACAACCCATGGCGCCCCTTCGCCCCTAGGCCGGCGAGGGCTGGTTCCGGGAGGCCAGGAGGGGTAAGGAATGGGACTCTGGCTCGGACACTGGGAGGCGAGAGCCCCAGCCCGGCAGTTCCCAGGGACACTCCTCGCTGAAGCCCAGGGAGGGGCCGACCGGGCCGGGCCCTCACACAGCCCGGACTCCGCGTCCGAAGGGAGGGAACGCGTCCCGCGCTCGGGCCAAAGCCCCCTCCCCGGTCGGCGCCCGTCCTAGAGGAGGAGGAGAAAAGTACTCTTCTGGAGGTGAGTTTCAGGACGCCCGCCGCCCCCAACCCGTAACCCAGGGTACCTTCCGCTCCGCTGCCTCTAGCTATGCGGCCGGTGCCCAAGGCTGAG